TGTATAGAGTGTCCCAGTAGGAAAGGTCAATATTGTGGGAGGTTATAGTACTGGTCATTCTATGCAAAAAATGTATATGTGCGTGCATCCTATTCTGAAAAGTTTCCGAAATTTCCCTGCACCGTACACTGTACAGACGAGCAGCATGGCATGTCCTCTTGCACACAGGGTGTCCCAGGAGGCAAGGTCAATATTCTGGGAGGTCATAGTATCGGTCATTCTAAGCAAAATTTTATATGTACGTGTCCTATTCCGAACTGTTTCCGAGATACAGCTACAGTACATGTTACACTGTACAGACAAGCAACACGTCACGTGCTCATATGAGTTGCAAAGTGCATTTTTGCTGACAGTGGAATTTTCAAAAATGTTATATACTAGGTAAACTGTTCCAACTTTGTCACTTGAGCAATAAAAATCAGTATTAGGAACTGTACATAATATCTCTTTCTTATCAACAATTTAAATAATTCTTAACTCAGAAACCATTCAGAATAGGAACTACATATACCTACACTTTATTTCCTTAGAATGACCAATACTATGTCCCTCTTGGGACTCCCTCTGTAACACTTACACATGTTGCTTGATTGAACAACTTATAGATAACATATGCTCAAATTTAAACATACAGAACTCTGGGCATAAGAGGAAAGCAATAAAAAACCAAACAACCCAAACTGCATACTACATTTCACAAGTTGAACATTTGCAATATGTATTTTGACTCAAAATTCTGTGTTGTATAGTCTCTTTTCAAGAATGTATGAATGTATGATTAATATAGCATGACTACAGGTGTGTGTAAGTTTAACACAAACTTACTTGTACTAAGTAATGTGTGTGCTCTTCCACATGCGACATGAGTAGCCTTTTCTGGCTTCAGACCTAAAAATTAAAAACATACGAAAATAACAGTCTTCAAGTAACAATTATGTGATAGTAAATGTTATGGTCATACTTTTATAACTGACAAAAATTTGCAGATGGATATAGTTGTAACTTCATATTTTTTTTATTTTATAGCTGATTTAACAGTGCTGTTAGTAACTAGACTATACAGCATCAGATTGTAGGATGATAGATGAACTGGTAAGGATCTGGAAGGAAGCAGTCATGGCCTAATCAAGGTACTTTCCCGGAATTTACCTGGAGTGGCTGAGTAAAACCACTAAAAACTTAGTCAAAAAAAAGGTGGTGTCTGAGCCAAAATTTCATCGAAGCACCTTTTGAATACAAGTATAAGTCCCTACCTCTCAACCAACTTGACTGTTTACATGGTATTAGAAGAAATAAATACAGATTTACAGAATCTCTCATGATCAACCCATCATTTGTACAGTTCTATAAATTATATAAATTGGAGAAAGCAGTCTTCTGGGATTTGGCACCGTGTATGTGTGGTGTTAACCGATGTTTTGGAAGAACGTATCGCCTCCATTTTCAGGGTAGATGGAAAAATATAAGAAATCCGCAAGCGAAGAGACCATGAGAACCAGTAAAAGCAGACTGGTGATGGAAATATACACAGCTATGTGAGAGCAGTGAAGGAAGGGGGGAAGTGCAAGTATACAAGTGAAAACAGTAGTGTTGGNGGTTCTCACAGTCTCTTCGCTTGCAGATTTCTTATATTTTTCCTTCTACCCTGAAGATGGAGGCGATACGTTCCTCCGAAACGTCGGTTTACACCACATATACATGGCGCCAAATCCCAGAAGACTGCTTTCTTCATAGTCACCGCTGTGAAAGCCTCAAATCTTACATATATAAATAGGGTTTGCATGACAATGTGAATGGCTGGTTGATCACATGTACCAGAACTAAAATAAGTAAGAGTAAGTTAATTTTTTTCTTTTCCATAAAACATAACTTTGATTTAGGTAATGTCAAAGATAAAATATACACTTACTTTTCACGCAGCTTGGTTTTACTGTAACATTCTTGTGACCAAGACCAAGTTGGCCATAATCATTATTCCCAAATACAAACACTCTACCTTTCTCTGAAATTCAAACAAAATTCAACATTAAGAAGATCAATTACACAGGGAAAATGGAAAACCACAGCCCCAAGAACAAATATGGAAAGAAACTGTACAAGATTCCAGCAATCAACAAACATGTTTCTATTATTTCCATGAATTTCACATTTGCCACAATGACTTTGGATAAATGATTCAAACAGAAAGAATATGAATTGGTAACTGGCCACGGATACTGAGAAAATAGCCATATATACATTTACTACAATTCCATGATTTAAATTATTATCTCAAAATTATTTAATTATTTTCTAAAAACAATAAGTGAATTTTATTCAAAGGTATGAAATAAACATGGTAATAACAACTAACTCCAATTAGTTAACTAATGAACTAACCCATTAAAAGAAACAAAAATGGCGTCATTTATATCTTCAGCTGTCATAAGCAAATGAATCAAGTCACTCATTCAATATATGACTAGATATATTATACTACTTACGGCAAATAACAGCTGTATGTTCATCTCCACAAGCTACTTCCAAAATAGGATCATTTCGAATATAAAAATGACTTGGTAAATTATCAGCAAATCGGCTACGTCCAAATGTGAATACAGCTCCTGTTTCTAAAGCAAAGAATAAAAGAAGTCAGACAGCTGTCACTCTGTTGAAAGATCAAAGGTAAAATAAATTATTTTGTGATGAGAACACCAAATTTTCATATGGGAATCCTGGTATATTCTACCTTAAAATGCTCAATAATATTGTAATCTCAAAAAGGAGCATGGCATCATGTTTCACCTGACCTGTGCATGCCTCTCTTTTAGGAAACATCAAATGCACCTGATGAGTTTTTCTTTTTAACTGGATTTACTAGTCCAACAGATGTTATTTGTTGTTTAATAGTCAGCAAACACTGGTCTACCAAGCAATATCAATCACAGGTTTATGAATCAATCAATGGAATCACTCAAAAGTGAAAATTCCAGACCTTTTCAAAGTTTCAAATGGCAGCATGTTTCTATGCTCATTCTCATTTTATGCTTATACTTCAGCTTCCCTCACAGCTATTACAGTTGTACATCATGCAGCGCATAATACACATATAATACCTCATCATTAAGCATTACACCAACAGAATCGTAAGCTTCGATTAATAAGAAATTCTCTTTGTGGTGGTGAAGCACAATAACTATGATGATGATGATATTAATACCTTTTATCTCATTATACAAAAGACACTGAATAGGAAGCATGATAATGTAAGGAATTTCATTTGGTTCTGCCCATACCGGTATCTACATAAAGTAAATGAATTCTATATTTCAGAGTTATTAAAATATTTACTATTCCTCTTACAATTCTTTCTTCTGTATAAGGTAATTCGATACAAACTCTTTTTAATGAACTTTCTCAAATATTGCTTTAGGTGAGATGGTCAGTATTCATTCACCATAAGCTATATAATATTTGTTTCTATGGCCTATATATTTTGCATGTACGAGTGTGCGACACTATTCTTCTCATTCTTGTCGCGTTGTAAAATCCAGAGTGACGCACAATTGCTGATATATGGAATATTTCTTCGTCTACTATTTAAAGTAATCCGAATACGTGATGCTATAACCACATTTTCCAAATAAACTATAGTCGAGCAATAATAATTAACGTGTATTATACAACGACGCGTTTTTAACAATGCTGAACATCCATTATTGTAACCAGATGCTATCACACGAGTAACATATGTAAATTAAAATACCTGGTATGTCCATGTCAATACTACCCGCCATATTGAAACAAACTAGTAGCAACTGCGCAACCTGATCCGAACGATCTGAACCATCTGTACGCTTATCACGGATCTGTACTGTGCTGAATCTTTTAAAACGATAATTTGTCAAACTGTGGAGACACATTATAAACGTTAATTAACACCGTCCAGTGTGACTGACACGCATGGTGAGACACATGGTTTGGAAGCAAGCAAAACGCAAATAACTCATAACCCAGCCTACTAGAGCTTTCATTGACGTTTTCTTTTACGGCATTTTTTAGTAGGAGAATTGCACAGTACTTTACCGAAACTGAAAAAGGTGCCTAGTGGTAAATAAACAGAGGGTGTTCTCTATTATCTGACAAAATGAAAACAAAACGAATCCTGCTGCAGAAATCCAAAATATGTCCGAAAGTTCTGCGTTCAATCTCGGTTGCAATACACTCACGCGCCTTCAAAACAAATGCTTTTAAATTTTTCAATGAACTACTTATTATTTACCACAAACGATTTTCTGCCAAGTTAACATACATCTATATAAATAAAAATGTAAATGTGCGTTTGTCCGTGTTCTTAAATCTCCGAAAGTTCTTCACCGATTGCTTTGAAATTTTGACACAACGTTGCATTCGAACACGCGCGTGATTTTATATACCTATTATACAGATGTCACACCCGTGACAGGTAAAAACAGGTAAAGTAAAAATTGTATTCAGTATTAATATACTGTAACGCGTTATACGTCGTCCATCGAATACCAACAGATCGTTGCCTAGGAATAACCGTGGCAACGAACTGTCGAAACAGTGGATCGCTGCCTAGGAATAACCGTGGCAGCGAAGTTTTCGTTTTGATTTTATTATTTCGTGTTACATTGCGTTGGATTTGGCCTGAGTCGTTTACCGTAGCGTTCATTTCGTGGGTATAGTTTATTTTTTGTTGTTTCTCATTTCGTTTTCTTAACTGTTTCCCTTATTTTCCGGTGCAATTGGCGGTGGGATTAGGCTGTGTCGATTGATCTGCGTTTGAATTGAAATATTTCGTCAGTATTTTTTTTTTGTTTCTTCTTTGTTTTCCAGTTCGTGTTCTTTCCTTTTTTTAATGTTTTGCAATTTCACATGTTTTTGTTATAACCTTCTTTCTTCTTCTTCTTCAGTGCAGTCGTTTTCATATTAACGCTAGAACAGACCGTTGCATAGGATAATAGGTTCCGTTGCGTAACAACGGATGAAACCGGAAAGTATACTTCCTTGGAAACGCGAGTATCACGGGGTCACGAGAATCACAAGTGACTCCCAGTGAAATCAAAGCAGAAACAGTTTCGACTTATTTTAATTTTGATTTAATTATTTCGTGTTACATTGCGTTGGAATTGGGCTGTGTCGTTTACCATAGCGTTCATTTCGTGAGTATAATTTATTTTTCATTGTTCTTCATTTCGTTTTCTTTACTGTTTCCCTTATTTTCCGGTGCAATTGGCGGTGGGATTGGATTGTGTCGATTGATCTGCGTTTGAATTGAAATATTTCGTCAGTATTTTTTTGTTTCTTCTGTTTTCCAGTTCGTGTTCTTTCCTTTTTAATGTTTTGCAATTATTTATGTGTTTAAGATAAGACATTGTATAAATATTTATATATATATATATATGCAATAACTTTCTTTCTTCTTCTTCTTCTTCTTCTTCGGTGCAATCGATCTGCTTTAGTTCATCCAAATAACGCCTCGCAGAAGATCAAACTTAGGTCGTCGTACTCGCGGAGCGGAAGCAATGCGTCGAGTAATTTCAAATCAAACTGGGGAAGAACGGGCAGACTGAGCCACAGCAAGGCGTGGCCGGGCATAGCTAGTAGCGGACAAAAAAAAAAAACTAACCCGAATTTCAGGGTCCTTGACCAAAAATGTACATCGAAAATTGGAAAGGGTGTTATTCAAAATCCAGATTCGGTATCGTTCATAAACTTCATTTCACTCAGCAGACGTTTACGTTAAGAATTAATCATGAGTAGACAGTAAAACACGAAGTTTTAATGAAAACAACAGCAATTCCATCAGAAGACATGATGATGTTACATGATGGATGTAAACCGGAATTGCGTAACCAGAAGAGGACGGTATTGGCAGGCAATGGTCAATAAACACACGTACCAAAACTAAGCAACAGACCACTTACTACGCAATGCAACAGAGCAACTGTTGGTAGCGGGGCTACGTATTTTGTACCTGTAGAGGCTACATACCCAGTAGTGGAATAATTCAATAATTCTTCTGCGATATCTACTACGAAATGGAAAGTTGTGAGAGATCGAAGAAGGGCTGCGGGTACCGGTTTCGCAGGTTCAGGGACTGGATACTGGGGTTTAAAACTTCACACCTAGCACTTGAGATCGAGTCCCTCAAAAATGATATACAGGTAAAGGACAAAATTATAAGCGAACTGAGGAAAAAGAATCTGACCTGGGCAGGCAGAATAGGTACATCACAGTTTGACTTGCTCCGAATTCTGGGAATCGGCGGGTATGGAACCGTGTACCTCGCTAAGAAAAGGGGCGGCGCTGATGACGGTCAACTCTACGCTATGAAGGTGTTAAAAAAAACTTCGATTATTCAAGGTGACGACGTTAAAGTAGCAATGGCAGAGCGTCGGGTGTTAGAAGCGGTAGGCCAGCACCCTTTCCTTACTGCCCTCCATTATGCATTTCAGACTGATTCCAAATTATACCTTGTTCTAGACTACATGTGTGGAGGGACCTTACTAACCCATTCTTACAGCCGAACATTCACGGAAGATGATGTAAGATTTTACAATGTTGAGATAACTCTGGCACTTGAACATCTTCACAAGCTGCATATCATTCACCGTGACGTTAAGTTGGAGAACATTTTACTTGACTCACAAGGACATGCAGTCCTTTCAGACTTCGGTCTCAGCAAAATATTCCTTCCACACAAGGTGCATAGAGCACATTCAACTTGTGGCACATTGTCCTACACAGCCCCAGAAGTGATTGTAAAAAGTGACGCCGGCTATGATATAGCTGTGGATTGGTGGAGTCTTGGTATCATCACATACGAACTCCTCATAGGGGAGACACCCTTTGAACGTCAAAATGAATCATTGACAAACGAGGAACTAGCTTCCCGAATAATTACTACTGAACCTGATATCCCCGATGACTTATCCTTTGATGCAGCAGATTTCATCTCTCAGTTATTAGTCAAGGATCCACAAAAGCGTTTAGGTGGAGGAAAAGATGATGCTGAGGAACTCAAAAGGCATCCATTCTTAAAAGGAATGAACTGGTCTGATATGGCACAGAAGAAAATCTTAGCACCATTTTTACCCACAAAAACAAATGAGTTGGATGACACCAACTTTCCTGAAGAATTCATCCAGAAAATTCCTGCTCACTTACCCGCTACTCTACCTTCAAACTGTGATGAGTTATTCAGGGGATATTCATTTGTATCACCATCTTGTAAGATTAAGAACCTGGAAATGGGATACAGCGTGACAAAACGCGTACAGAAGAGATCCGACATGGAGAAAAGATTGATGGAATCAGATCCGAGAGCTGCCACAGAAAAGATCAAGTCCCTGGAAGCTGAACTCATTAGGGCAAACTGTGTGCAGCAGAGGTACAATTGGGAGAAGAGGCGGCTGCGAAAAGACCTGAGAGATGCCAAAAAAAAGATAACTTCCCTGGAAGTAAAACTGAATAAGGCAAACTGTACAAGGATGAGATACAATGACAAAAAAAGTATGCTGGAAATAGACCTGAGAGATGCCATAAAGCGAATCCAGTCATTGGAAACAAAATTTGCTAAGGCCACTTGGAAGAAATACAATAAGGAGCCACCAAGGATGCAAACACAGCTGAGAAGTGGCAAAAAAAAGAAAAGGTCCCTGGAAGCGGAATTAACTGAGGCAAACCGTGCACAGCAGATGAGCAAAAGGAATGAAAGGAGGCTGAAAACAGACCAAAGAGGTGCTATATAAAGGATCATGTTCCTGAAAGCAGAATTGGGATGTGAGATTGTTCATCTTGCTCATCTTTACTCGGCATCCATTCAAAAGTTTGTAGATGAGTTACAGTGTATGTGGTGAATAAACCTAATTACCATACCAAACCCTGTGTCCAGTCAAAAACACATGAAAATATGTTTTACCTCATATGTACTCATTTCAGCACACATAAATAGATAAAAGAGACACAAGAGCATCTATCTGATGAACTGACTTCCATAACCTCTTTTTAGACTTACTTCAGACTTTCATTTGCAGTTCAGGGACCACTTTTCATTACAAACAATGCATACACCTTCAGATTGTGGGGGTGGGCTTAAAGATGGAGGGAGCACGTTTCTCCAAGACACTGTTATCCACTTAGAAGACTACATAGTGTCACAATCCCAAAACCAAAATCTGAACAATAACCACCATAACTACTTCAAAACTTATATAATGCATACATCAGTCTCAAACATTACAGTCTACATCTCCATGTTAGTATTGTCTCCTTAATGTTACTCATCATGTACCAACCAGGCACAATATTCTATCCATCTTATTCAGTGTAGTCTACTGTTTATACAGCAGAAAAACACTGGGGTTTCACTATAACAAGTCCAATATAGTGCAAATCTTTGCATCATGTGAATCGTTGACCATACCTGCTGCTGTCCAGAGACTTTAATTATAACGTTGTCTTCTAAAGCACTTTCACAACATGCTCCCTTAGATTACAATAGAGTAGGGCCCAAATAAACAAGAATATAAGCATCACGTAACACTGCACTACATGATTTTCTGCAGTGGATACCTTTCATTCAATATATTGTAATTGTTAAACTGTTTGTGTGAATGATTTGTCAAGAAACTTTATATTTATTCTCTTCCTTGTAAGATCATAACTTTATGATAAATCTGGGTATGTTCCATTCTCCATGTTGATGTCCTGAAGATCATGATATCCGCAACCGTGGTTCTTTCTATGCTTGATCTCAGCAGCAATTTCTCTTCATTTATGATTTGCAAAACTCTATCAACAAGAAGAGGCTTAAGAATCTTTGTATTTTAAATAATTTTTGGGAAAAAAAAAAAGTTTATTTTTAACAGAAGCAAGCCAACTGTTACTTACATTCCAGTATCCACCTAAGTAATTAATATCATGAATCAGGGCTCTTGATGAACACATCACCACACCCTATGCTTTATTACCCATTTTAGTATAGCTAAAAGGTACAGTTGTCCCTGTGCTCAATGAATTAACCACTGCACCATCAAGGTGCAGTGATTAATTAATTAATTAATTAATTAATCTAAGCTATGAATTATGGGATGATATTTTTGTAGATAGTGATGTGGCTACAATGTTTAATAACTTTTTAAATACTTACCTTAGGATTCTAAATTCATGTTTTCAGATCACAAAATCACAAAGTATATATAGANATTACCTCTTTTAGTATCATGCTCTTTATTTAATCAAGCAGTTTCTTCCCTTGAAATTTACTGCCTAACTTCATGTATGCATTCTCATCCTCCCCACATTTGCTGCATGATTCGATATCTGAGGCTTGCTGATTTTATCACATTAGAAATATTTTGTGAGGAGTATAAATTATTAAATGGTGGGCCAATGAAAGCAACAGAAAGCTTCCATGACATCAGGGATAATTTCAGGTGTTGTTGAGTTCGAAGTTCTCACTGTGCTGCCTATGAATGCATGTTTTACTTTATGAAAATAAGAGAACCAATTTGTAAATGAATTAAAATAAAAAATCTTGACTTATAGTCTGATAATTATAGCACGTTTGCCTTGCAGACTTGCCTCATCTGAAGGCTGGGAATCACTCATAAAATCTGTGTAAGGAGTTTGTTATAAGCAGATGTATTATAAATGAAGTTTATCCATGGAATTTTGTCCATTACTTAAGCCACAGTTGACACAGAATGCTATGGAGTTATCCAGAACACCTAGAAAAAAGTGTGCAGAACCCTAAGCATTCGGCATTTGGTACTTTGCATAATGCTACTGAGTAATGTACACATCCTTTACATTTCAGAAAAGTGTAAGTTTCTTGAATTAGAAGTTCACTATCAGAGAATGTTAACAAACAACTGAACAATACAATCATTCTAAAAGAAATTTAATGATTTCATGACAAAGCTTAATATATGTGTATAATATGCAAACTAAATTACATTTTTATCACTGAAATAATACATCTGTAGGTATATTTGAATTGAGATTTATCTACACTATATTTTACATTAAAATTGTGAACTTTCTCACCGAAGTATCCCCAATCAATAACCCCTGGCTACTTTACTAGTAAACTGAATATTTGTCCATGAGCTTTTTTGGTCCCTTTCTCTGGTAAATGCTGTTCTCTTTTCTGTTATCTAAGATACAGGTACTGTACCTTTAAAGACTATTTCAATTGTTACTTTATAAAACTGTAAAGAAATAACACATATAGATAAAGTTAAATGTAAAGCAAATCAATTATAACCAACTGGTTATTTAATGGTACTATAAAAACACTGGAAGTTATGCATTAGGGAATGAAATTGTGGATGAGTTTGCAGGTGAAATGGTAAGAAACAGTCATGATGTATTTTTTTGTATTGTAGAAAGACAATGGGCAACCATACAAACATCAATATAAACTTCAGGTAAGATTCAACCCAGGTACCTCCCAAACACAAGTCACACATATAAGGCTCAGCTATCTACTGTTTAATACGAGGGCTGGAACTTTAATAGTGGCAACTATTTATTTACAATTGATACAAAATAGATGCATGTTTTGAAGTTTTACTGTCCTTCAATGTAGTCACCAGCACTGTGTACAACCCGTTGCCAGCGATGTGGAAGTCATAGGATACCTTTAGCAATGCCTGATGTGTTGATAGTTCAAATGGAGCGGTCTACTGCCTGAAGAATCTATGGAACACTTCTGAAGCGAATGCCACGAAGTGGTTCCTTCATCAGAGGAATCAAGTTGAAGTCACAAGGGCTTAAGTCCGGGGAGTATAGTGGATGGTACAGCACTTCCCAGCCCCATTGATCGAACAAATCAGTCACAGTTTGTGCTGCATGCGGCTGAGCATTGTCCTGCAAAATGATGGGTGGGTTCTGCAGAAAGTGTCACTGCTTCTTTCTCAAAGCTGGTCACAGTTGTTTTCCAAAAATGAACAGTAATACTGTGCACTGACGGTCTGCTGTCGGGGAACGGTATGTGTTAGGACAACACCATCACAGTCGTACACGAGAATCACCATAACTTTCACATTTCTGGGGTTCTGGCAAACTTTTGATTTTTATGGTGACCTGTAATGACACCATTCGTTCAGTTGGCGTTTCATTTGTGACTCGTACAATTTGGATCATGCCCCATCCAGCATAATGATACGGCGTAAGAAAGCCTTTCTTTCGTGCTCATAGCGCTCCAAGTGGTTACAAGCAGCGTCGTATCATAGTCATTTCTGCATTTCCGTCAAATCATGTGGAACCCATCGTGATGCAATTTTTCTCATGCCCAGGCATTCCTTCAGAATGTGAAGCACAGTCGTATGCGCTGTAACCATACGCATCCTTCATGGATATGTCTTATTTGTTTGTACGTAACGATTAAGTTTAGCTGTTGAAATAAGATGCTCCAGAGGGATCAATGTCCTCTAAACTGGCCTTTTGTTACTAGGGGCTAAAGGGAGGTCAGCGAGTCCACTGCACTCGGGGGGGGGGGTATCCATTCTGGTGTCCTTGCCTGCGGAAGTGTAGGACCTGTCGATGGAAGCTTTGAGAAGGCGTGTAGACCAGAAGGGGTCCTTGCGCTTGGTCATGTAGCCCCCCAGTAGAAAATTCGAGATCGCTGCAAGAAGGTGGTTTCTAAAAGCAGCGGCGGTGGTAATTTGGTAGTGGGTGAGTAGAAGTCAGTCTGTGAGGGAGTTCAAGGGAGTTAGTGAGTAGAAGTGAGGCAGTGAGGGAGTTCAAGTGAGTAAGGAGTAAAGTCAGTGGAAAGCAGTCGAGTAGTCAGTCAGTAAAGAGTCAATCGGGAGGTCAGTGAGTCGAGTGAGTAGAAGATCATTTAAGAGGACAGTGAATAAGTGTGAACTCCAGGAGCATTATCAAAGAGATTGCGAACTGTTAATAAACGCTGATTTATGTAAGTGGATTTCAAAGAAATATTACGCAATCTATCGAGGAAGAGAAGTTTCTACATAGGATAAATAAAGTTAATTAATCAGAAACTTACGAAACCGAGTGAGATATTTCATTTCCTAAGAACCTGTGCCTAAGTATTAACCGATCCAGCCTGCATCCGAAACGACGTGAGCCAACACCCGTGTACCCCTGAGATACAAGACTCATGACCCTGAACTTAGGTGAGGCACTACACTGCGAGGAAGGCAGCGTGTGGGGCGGGTGTAGAAATGGCGACCAACGTATGGGGCCTGAATAGCAGCGGCCGCATATAAACAAATGACTCTTAACAACGTGCGGCTCGATAAGGATCGGTGCTTCGAACCCAGGAGTAGATCGATGCTTCGAACACAGGAGTTCAAGATAGCCGCGGCCGGACAAGAAAAGTGACATCGATCAACGCTGCGGTGAAAAGGACGAACCGGTTGACAGATCGGAAGACTTGCATCTTGAGGACAATCCGACTCATCTAAAGGAGAATCAACCCCTGCGAACTTCAGGTCAGGTTAGTAGAAAGTGACAGAGACAGACTAGTATTGTTAATAATCAGGCAGGGTATGATTACTTGTAGACATTTGCGAAACAAAAGGGTAATCGGAGACAATAGTAAAGAAGGTGAAAAGAAGGGTGAGGGGACGACGCAGTTAGAAGGCTTAATTATAAGTGAGAGTGGGGGAGATTCAGAAGGGGAAATGGACATGCAGTGTGGTCAACCGACAGAAGGGGACACAGGTGGAATCAATGAGATTAGGGGAGAACAACTGACGAGTGCTGACAAAAAGGGGCAAGACGACCAAATAGATATGNGTTACCGCTCTAACGCCCTTTACATGTGATGTTGGTTGGGTTCCGGTGGCAATGAAAGTCTTCCTCAGGGTCGCTATACGGGTCTTGGATTATGAGACAAAAGGTAATACTATTACACCTACACACATTACAATTGCTC